ATCTTCTAGAAGCTGTGTTGATGTGGATTGACCTCATTAATTAGGTCATCACACATATAAGAACTCGGTATCCTATCAGTATTCAGTATATGTCGAATGATTGGTGCAGGACACGAATCAAATGGTCTTTATTACCTATTACCCTCCAATCAGCCCATCATATGGAAGAGTAAGAAGGATGGCTAGGTTAAACAACTTTACAACTAAAAAAAAGAAAGCAAAAAGTCTAAATTACCCTTAAGATGTGTTGAAATACAAGAGACTAAGAGACATTTGAATAACCCGTGTGTATTGAAAAACACTACGGAGACATTATTATATATAGATAGATTATAACTAATTACATGATATAGTCGATGTGGGACTATTCTATATACAAATATTCTTAACACTATATATATTTATAAATATCAACACTCCCCCTCAAGCTTAAGCATATAAGTCAAATGCACCAAGCTTGTTACATATATAATTAATTCTGGGGTGTCGCCTGACTCGATCTTCTCTCTGACAAAGTGACAGTCTATCTCAATATGTTTTGTCCTCTCATGGAAGACTGGATTTGAAGCAATGTGCAATGCAGCTTGATTATCACAAATAAGTGTCATTGGTCTTGCTTCTTCAATTTGAAGTTCCTTGAGCAACTGTTTTAACCAAATAAGTTCACATGTTGCCATTGCCATGTCCCTATACTTTGCCTCGGCGTTTGATCTTGCAACTATATTTTGTTTCTTACTTTTCCAGAATATAAGGTTTCCTCCAACAAGTACACAATACCCAGAGGTGGATTGTCTATCAATGGGTGATCCTGCCCAATCAGCATCAAAGTATCCAATTATCTGGTTATGTCCTTTATCCTCATACACAAGAACTTTTCCTGGAGCACATTTGATATATCTTAGAATCCGGATAACAGCATCCATGTGTTCCTGACAAGGGAAATTTAAGAACTGACTTACCACACTGACTGCAAAAGAAATGTCCGGACGAGTAACTGTGAGATAATTCAACTTTTCAACCAATCTCCTATACCTTCCTGAGTCAGATAGAGGCTCCCCCTGATTGGGTAGTAGTTTAACACTTGGATCCATAGGAGTATCGGCTGATTTAGCATTTAACAAACCTGTTTCTTCCAAAATATCCATAGCATATTTCCGCTGAGAAATCACTAAACCATCTTTAGATTGAGCTATTTCAATACCTAAGAAATAACGGAGTTTACCAAGATCTTTTGTCTGAAATTGTTTCGAGAGATGTTTCAACTGGAGTATTCCCTGCTGATCACTACCAGTTATGACATTGTCATCTACATACACAATAAGATAAATACACCCTTGGGGTGAGTGACGATAAAAAACAGAATGATCAGCTTCACTACGGATCATACCAAATTGTTGTACTGCAGTGCTGAATCTGCCAAACCACGCTTTCGGAGATTGCTTAAGACCATAAAGAGACCTGTGTAGCCTACAAACCATATTCGATGACTCCCCCTGAGCAACAAACCCAGGTGGTTGCTCCATATATACTTCTTCAAGATCACCATGTAAGAATGCATTTTTGATGTCAAGTTGATGAAAAGACCAATGTCGAATGGCTGCAATGGCTAGAAGAAGTCTAATAGATGTCATCTTGGCTACAGGCGAAAATGTATCACTATAATCCAACCCAAAAATCTGAGTGTATCCTTTGACTACCAAACGAGCTTTAAATTGATCAATCTTACCATCTGGACCAACCTTCACTGTATAAAGCCAACGACAACCTACTAAAGATTTCCCATGAGGTAGAGAAACCAGTTCCCAGGTACCATTGCTTTGAAGAACACACATTTCATCAATCATTGCTTTCCTCCACTTAGGGTGAGATAATGCTTCACTTGGAGTTTTAGGAATAGAAACAAAAGACAAAGAAGACAAACAAGTATACTGCAAAGGGGAAAGACGATGATAACATAAATCAATATAATGTGGAGAAGGATTTCGTGTTTGACGTATACCTTTTCGAAGGGCAATCGGAAGATCAGACTCAGGTTGCAGGATCGGATCCGATGATGGCGAGAGCGTCGGAGGAGAGTCCGTAGTGACCTCAGGGACAGGTACGATTACAGGGACAGGTACGACAGACGTTGGGTGACGACGCTGATATGTTTGAAGTGGGCAAGGAGTGGGGGGTTCAACCGTAGGGGTATCGAGTGAGTCAGGATCCCTAGAATGATGAGGGATAATGACAAATGGGACTTCCGGAAGAGGTGTGAGATCACTTTCCTGTAGAGGTTCTGTAGTTACTTGGCTGGACTCGAAATATGGAACAGACTCGAAGATAACATCGGCTGATACGAGGTATCATTGTAGAGTGTGTGAGTAGCAACGATAACCCTTTTGAGATCGATGATAGCCAAGAAAGATACACTTTAGTGATCGAGCTGATAGTTTATCAAGACCAGGGGAGAGATTGTGTACAAAACACATAGACCCAAAGACTCGAGGAGGAATTGGGTGGAGTAGAGAGTTTGGAAACAAGATTGAATGAGGGATTTTATTATTAAGGACAGATGAGGGCATGGGATTTATGAGGTAACATGCCGTGAGCACTGCATCTCCTCAAAACCGGAAAGGAACATTACCATGGAGAAGTAGGGTCCGAGTGGTTTCTATGAGGTGCCGATTTTTGTGTTCGGCTACCCCGTTTTGTTGGGGTGTATGAGGGCAAGATGTTTGGTGCAAAATACCATTGGATGACATAAATGTTTGAAATTGTTGGGATAAATTTTCACGTGCATTGTCACTTCTTAAGGTACGAATGGACAAACCAAATTGAGTTCTTATTTCTCGATAAAATTGTTCAAAAATGGAAAACAATTCAGATCTATTCTTCATTAAAAATAACCACGTGCAACGTGAAAAGTCATCAATAAAGACGACAAAATACCTAGACTCAAGAGTAGAGACAGTACGCGAGGGACCCCAAACATCGGTGTGAACTAAAGCAAAAGGGGACGAAGCTCGTTTGTTGACTCGACTGGGAAATTGACTACGAGTGTGTTTCTCTAACTGGCATGACTCACAATGTAAATTAGATACCTTCGATAAATTTGGCACCAACTTATGTAATTTGGAAAGACTGGGATGATATAACTGAGCATGGATAGTGAGTGAAGAATCTTTGGTTGAGCATATCTGAGATGACAATGAAAGGTAGTAAAGGCCTTGAGACTCATATCCGACGCCAATCGTCTTTCCCGAACTCCGATCCTGCAGGGTAACATTATTGTTAGTGAATGTGATACTACAATCAAGAGAATGAGTTAAACGACTGACTGAAAGTAAATTAAATGGACAATTAGGTACATAGAGGACATAAGTAACAAATAGAGAAGGTAGAATTTGAACAGTACCAATCCTTTCGGATTGGGTTTGAGAACCATTGGCAGAAGTTATAGTAGGTAAGAAACCAGAGGTAGAGAGGGAAGAGAACAAATTTTTATTACCAGTAACATGATCAGACGCACCAAAATCAAGGACCCAAGGTCGAAGAGGAGATGATTGAGAGAGGCAAACAGATAAATTACCAGTGTGTGCTACCGTAACAGTAGAATCTGAGTTCTGATAATTTTGATACCACCTGAGAAAATCATCGTAGTTCTGAGGAGTAGCCATGAGTATTGAAGAAAGAAAATATCACGCGATCGATCGTCGAACGTGTTGTCACGTGCGATTCAGGTGGCGGCGCTTGATGCCCACGCGCGGAGACGGAGGTGGCGCGTGCGGAGGTTTCTGCCGATGAAAAAAGTTTGCCGGAAGGTCGTCGAGAATAGTAGCGACGACGGCGGCTATGCAGTTATGACTGGAGAATGTTGAAAATTCATGGTGAGATCGGTTTTCCGAAACGTCGCCGGAAGTTTTGCCAGAGCAGTAACAGTGGCAGTGGCGGCAGGGTGGTCACCGGAGAATTTTGAAAGGTGAGGCAAACCGGAAGACCGTGAGTCAACCGGGTAAAGCATGACGAAGAAAGAATTGCCTCTTAGCAGGCTCTAGATATCATGTTGAAATACAAGAGACTAAGAGACATTTGAATAAACCCGTGTGTATTGAAAAACACTACGGAGAAATTATTATATATAGATAAATTATAACTAATTACATGATATAGTCGATGTGAGACTATTTTATATACAAATATTCTTAACCCTATATATATTTATAAATATCAACAAGATGTTTTAATTTTAAAAGGTAATTTTAACTTTTTAAATGGAAAAAAAAAATAAAATTGTCTAGAAACCACTACTGCAACCTGTGACCCGCGAAAACCCTAGAAGTGGCTGCAATCCTTTTCCGCGTTGCCACAAGCCTTCCCACTGCAGACAGCCTCCTCTCGTTGCTCCAGACCACTATTGACTTCTCTGGCTAGAAGTTAGAGAAGGTGGAAAGTTAGTTACAGAAAATGAAAACATGAGTGCGGTTACATAGGAAAAAAGTAATAGACAAGAGGCTATTCAAGTTGTAATAGATAGTTTGGGGCTGGAGTGTATCATCTGAGCTTGGGAGCTTCTGCAATCTGCCCTTCCACTTTAATACGTAATACCTCTATACATCACAAACCGTGTCTGGTGTGTGTAACAGTGCTTCATAGCATAATACTACGTATAATACTATGTATATTAGTATTATGCACACCTCAATTCTCCAGCAGTAGTTTTGTAAAATACCACAAAATATTTGTATTCCATTTCCTCTTCAAAGCATAATAATGCAAACATACACTTAACTAGAGAATTTCTCTATAAGTAGTTTTCAAAATAAAAGAAGGAAAAATGTTATAATTTAACAGATGTTGGAATAGAGTATTTTATATGTAGATTAACAGCATCTAGTAAAAAAGGAATTTGGTTAAGCAGCATATTGCAAATGAAGGAGCTTTATTATGTTTGCTCTGATTAATATTGTCAAATCAAATATATTGCTAATAATACTTTTATTTCTATTTCTGTGGTGCAGCTTCAGGCAATATTCGTCAACTTTACTGTCTGCAATCGGATTAATCGTCCACAGAGAATATATTTATTATACACAGTTAATGACATTGAAGGGCAAAGGTTTTGGTTTCCTTTTTGATACTTCAGTTTCGCTTGCCAAATTGCATTGGTCGCACAGGTAGCTAAAATCAGTTGACATGAGTTAGAGTGCTCAACCTTCTTATGCAGTCAGATATATCACTCTGCACAGAAATGGAACAAAAATGCAATCAGTAATCTGATTGTTATGATTTTCTTTTTGTGAAATAATTTCTGTAATAGTTTGGTAGTCTAAATTATCGGCCTTCTAGAAAAAAAAAACAAATCACTGCAATATCTATCTAGAGTACTAGATTTTTTTTGGTTTTCAACTTTGCCCAGTTGATCGTCAAGAAAAGAAAAGAAAAGAGGGGTTCAATGTGATTGAGGTCCTTATGGCTTATGATTGAAGTTCAATGTGAATTTTCAAGTAATCACAAGAAAAGAAAGGTTTGAGCTGTGTTTGAAAATCTAAAACCATAACCTTTTTTCTCAATTACTGTAAAAAGTAATTAAAGCAAATATAGTTAGGAAACTCAATTTGCATTTTAATCGAGCAGACACTTATAACAAAATAAAAACTATAAATTCATTAAGTAGAAAAGTAATCACATGATCTTTTTGTTGTATGAATAATTTTAGAGAATTTCTTATTACACTTTATATACTTTTAGTGCACTCTTCTTTGAATTTTCAAATATGCGTTCTAAAGATATATTTTTGGACGTATTTTTTGTATATTCAATAAAGACAATTTTAAGAGACGTTCCGTACACTTGATTAGTTTTATTTTATTTTGGAGATATAACATCAAAACAACTTGAAAGAAAACATTTCAATTGTTTATTTCAATGGATATTTTGGAGATTCATCTTCGGAGTTATGAGAGACATTTTAAAATTTTCTGTCACCTTTACATGTTAGGTATTTTCAGAGATGCATCTCCAAGAATATCTGATATAGTTTTCGGTTGCATGATTAGTACTCCATTGTTGTCATATTTCATTCTCACCTAAACCCTCACCTTAAAAGCCCTTCGCATGTTATATGTTTTTTTTTTGAAATAGTTCAGGAGAAGTTTTAGAGATATTTTTTTGGAACAAGATAATAGGATACATTTCTGAAGATATATATTCGGAATCAATATGACAATTAATGAATATATCGAGTTAGGTCTTCTATGAATTTAAGCGTTCTTGTGTTTTATTTTGCACAAATTCAAAATGTTTCAAATGTCACAAATAACCGTTCATTGGTATGTTGCAAATGCCTCATACTCTGGTGGCTATACATTCGGGATGACGTTTAAGCTCACCGATCTCACCCCCTCGAAGATGTTATAGACGAAATCTACTATTACTGAGACAAATGAAGGATTGTGAAGTTCGAGTATCGTTCACCTTCAATTGATAACGAACGAAACACTATGTTAAGCGAATTTAAGGTCAAGACCCGAGCGGATGTTAGGGCTTTGTGGGATACATATTTCGGTTTCGAAGAGAAAGTTCTGCTTGAGTTGAAAGCGACGCTACAAAGATCGGTCGAAGATATTTTGTTGAAGATGTCCACCGGGATATTGAAATGTAATATTGAATTTTCTGTTGAAATCATTATTGCAATGATTATTTTATGTTATGAATGTCAAATGTATTTTAGAAAGTTTATTTTCTGTTGAATTTGTTTTTAGTGTTTTTTCGAAGATGTAACTACGAATTTGTTTCAGAGATGCATTTTCGAAACAAATTAAATCTAATATATATGGCTCTTCTCAGAATTGTCTTTGTTGAGTATACAAAGAGTACGTCAGAAGATATATCTCTGAGATCAAGAAGTATTTTTAAAAATTCACTCAATATATTAGAAGTATACAGGGTGCAATAAGAAATTCACTAATTTTAAGATGGAAGAATATTGTTTTCATAAACCTAACTTTGGTTGAACAGTATTTAAGGATTTTTATATTCCAAAGGATATTTATGTAAACATATACCCGTTGAATTAGTTTTACATGGTTTTGTAAAAGGAAGAATTTAAGATTTATGTAATAGACTTTACTTATTCACCCGTTAAAAACACTTAATTTATATTTAATTTTTCTTTTTTTATTTTATTTTAATTCTTATACTCTTTTGTTAGAGAATTGTAATGGGTAGTTAAATATTTATTTAGTAGAGTATGAATTAGTGAGACTTTGGGGTGATTGAAGACAATCTATTTGTGTCAATAATTTTCACATAATAGTTATTTTTAGGTTGTCATTTGACAACTTGGTAGAGTATGAATTAGTGAGACCTTGGGGTGATTAAATGTAATCTATTTGTGTCAATAATTTTCACATAATAGTTATTTTTAGGTTGTCATTTGATGACGACCATTCTTTTTTATCTCATTGTGTATCTTTATTTTTTTATGTCTGTTTTTTTTTTAACAAATGATATCAATATCAAGCTTTTCAAGTGTAACGAGGCTTGATTTAGAAAAATTTGATGAAATGATCAATTTTACTTTGCAGAAGATTCAAGTCAAAGATGTTTTGTTACAATTAGAATTATACAAGGTGTTGAAAGAAAATATTTCTAACAAGAACAACAAGAAGAAGAAGGAGCTAAATTTCAGAGTTTCAAATATAACTCACAAGTCTTTGGCTAAGAGTATTCTTGATAATGTTCTTTGTACGTTGTCAGCTAACAAGTTTTGGGAGAAACTTGAAGTGCAAAATTAGAGAAATGGTATTTCAAATCGCTTTTTTTTTTTTGTTGAAAGAATAGTTTCATAACTTGTGTATGAGTGTAAATACAAAAGTATCTGATCATTTAAGTATTATCATTAATATTCTTTTATGAATTATGAATTATTGGAGTTAATATTGATGATGAAGACAATTTTGAGACTCGTATGGTCTCTTCCATCTTCTTATAACCATCTTAAACCTGTTTTGATTTTGGGAAGGAGACTTTGAATTTTGAAGAAATTACTAGTAAAATTATTTTTGAAGAAAGAATATTGAAAAGTGAGGATAATACTTTATCAAACTCAATATTGGTAGTTAGAGGAAGACCTTATATGAAAAAAAAACAATAAAATGGGTGGGAGATATTGGAAATGTGGAAAACTTGAGCTTGTAAAAAATAAGTGTATTGATAGAGCAGTGTTAGAAAAAGGCTATGAGTCAAATGTTATAAATGTGTCTCTAGCTTTAGAGGATGGTGATATTTTGTGAAAACTAAGACGTATGTCATCATGAAATTTCCGCTATCATGGAAAAGGATGAGCTATTGCTAGCATATTACCAAATGAGAATTATTTTACATTGATGCAAAGTGTGTTGTGAGCTTACGTCGGTGGTTGAAGAGCTTCCCACCAACATGAAAGTTGTATCATAGTTTTAGGCCTGATTTTTAATATGTGGAAATTAATATAGTGATTTAGATTCAAGTGAAGTATACTTTTCTTCCGGTGGAGTATGATAGCTTTTAAACTATGATTGGCGAAGACAATGTATTTTTTTTGTGATGTAACTTTAGGTGACTATACTCTTTATGGTGGAATATGATAGTTCTTTTGAGCTATGGTTGTCTGTGTAGACAATGGAGGTTGACATGTTATTTTTAATCAAGGTGGAGATTTATGGTGTTGGTTGAAAATTGTTCGAACTGCAGTAAAGCGGCAAGAAGCAACGATTTAGTTTAGGAAGGACTCCCTCAGGGATTTATATCGTCTTCATAGGGATCAATGCAAGGGAAATAATTCTGTTCAACGATCTCTACATTTCTAAGCTTGTTGTATAAATTTGTTGAAAGATCAACGATACCAAAAATAAAGACAGAAAATATAAAGAGGGAAAATATAAAGTAAAGACTTAAAATATAAACGGAGCCTTATTGGGATTGGATCTCATCAATTGATAACACATGCATTCTTCTAACTAGTTAAACACAAATCAATCATTCGTCTAATATCCTTACGTATCAATCAAAATAGAAGTTATGTCTAACGCAAGATCGAGAGAACAACTATATTATCTCATTGGTGATGTCTCACACAACTCAACAACACAGAGCATTAAAAACTGATACTCAAGCAAATGTTAAGCCTAAATCTATGTCTAAAGTCTAGAACCAAACAGATAATCATCCTAGATCTCGATTTGAAAAGTATATTTCTATAACGGTTCAAATCATAAATAAGTAAGCAGAGATGACATCCATATCAGCTTCATGATTGATTCATATAAAACACCATGATCAGAATACGTACATACGCTTAACCCTTTTTACATGCATTTCAACTAATTTTCCAAATGTATGTGAACATAGTTCTTCATCTCTATTATCACGCATCCTCACAATACCGTATTGATGCTACTCATGCTACTCATTCTACTAATCAACATAATTGAATAAAAGATACAAGTGAATATCAACTTACAAGACTATATCAAAAGTTTTCTCATTGATCGATGAATATCTAAGATCCAAGATTTGAAAAAGATTTTGTCAAGACCCATAAAAAAAAATCAAAGACAGGATCAACATTGAATCAAAACTAGTTCATAATACATATATTAGATGAACTACATAAGGTATCAAAAGATTACATCCAAATCCAACAAGAGACCGAAGCTCTTACCTTCTCCCCCTTAGGTTTGTGTTTATCTCTCTAGAATATGCTCAGAATGAAAAGAGATGAAGTTCTATTTTGAAAAATATCTAACTAACTTCTAAAAAGTGAGAAAAGTACTTAAATAGTTATTACAAAATCTATCATGTTCGCCTACCAAACACCCTCTTCACCCAACGAAGACCATTTTTAGGCACTTGAAGTGCCTTTGAATAGTTAAACCGCCCCTGGAAAATATATGAGTTCGCAGTGCGAGCATTTCTTCGTACAGCGAACTGCTTCGCTACAGCTTCGCCCATCGAACTTTGGGCCCTTTTCCTATTGCCTCTAATCTAACATGGTTCGCTGGAACTTTGCCAGGATCTCGC